TCTCTGGGGAACGTTTGGAAACCAAATATCAAAGATAGTTGAGCCCCAATATGAAATGAGTCATTTTGGGGAAAAGGACTTATTGATTAGTAATGGCAACTTATGAAATTACAGGAGCAGGAACTGTATGAAGACACTGATGTTCTGTGGTATATTTATTACTGTAGCTGGTGTTATTCTAACTAATATGGGAATCAAAAAGAATGTGATGTTGCTAACTGAAAATTAAATTATAAATTGACTTGATTGTTGGGGTGTATGTAGATTATACACAAAGTGATATTGGAGGATGGAAAGATGGAGTTCCATATTATGTGGTGACAAAGTATTTGGTAAGTGTGTAACTTTAAATGACTTTTACATCAGACCAATTGTACTAGTATGTTTGTAGGTCTCAGTACTGAACACAGAGTTAGAAAAGAGTTATAATGAAATGTGCAACTACACATCATATGATGGAATCTTTAGCATACACATATAATAGAAGTTAACATCTAGAGCATAGTTAATAGCACAATGTAATAAAAGTTTTAGGCTGGGATGAGTTATGGTCATTGTTGCATTGTTTTCAATAGAATTTATTTAATTGTAAGTGTGTAATTATTTAACAGTGACTGCGACTAACAATTGGCTCACACAATTCACAAAAATTTGCTAGTTGACTCTTGTAATCTGATATAAGCCACTTCTGGCACATAGCTATAAATTTTAGACTTTGTTAGAACAAGAAATGAGTTTTATATGTTTTAAACCATTGACATTTGGGTGTTTATCTGAGACTACAAGTAGCACTGATCTAAAGAATATACGGGGCTACAGATTTAAATTCAGAAATGGCACGTGTCTTCAACTTATTCACTGTTCTTCCAGGTGATAGGGAGCCTTTATTCCTCCATTCTCTGAGATCCCAATATCTTGTCTGGCAGGTGGTATTGCCCTGGGTTCCAGTAGGACGTTTTTCTCCTGAATCAGTGGCTGTGTACTTTGAAGGTAGAAGAGAGGTTGACAAAATCCAACCTAGTAGTAAAATCAACACCCTATATGGCAGAGTTATAATGTTTTCATTATCTTAAGGCAACTGGACCATAACACTGAAATTCTGTGAAAACTGTGCACCTACATAAATCAGGGACATTGGGAGTAATCACTGAGCAACTATAAAGCAGAGAAGAAAACTGCTGATATATGTGCCAGACGTATGTCCCTGAATTATTCATGTTTAACACTAGGTGTACTATTACATTGAATAATCTACCTTGACATGATCATTGGATAGTTCTGTAATTTTATACAATTTGACACTAGAACTAAGTTTTACAAGTGGAAATTTGTCCTTCTGGCCCTGGCCCTTTAAGTCTTGACAAAGAACCCACTTATCTGTGAATTACAACCAATAAGATTATAAAACCAAGCCTTACATAGGAACAGAAACTCTATCTTGTTTTTCTTGTCCAATTTATTTCCCCCTTGCCTCTCTCTTCCTTTAGTTTAAAAATCCTCATTTGATTTTCCTACACCTCCCTAAGTAGAACAATCTTATACTTCCCTTTTTATTCTCTTCATGTCACTATTTATTGGGGCATAGCCTTGCAATGCAACTCCCACTTTCTTCCCGCCCTCCCATAGAATTGATGTCCAGGCCTATGCTCATTAGAAACCCACATGTTTTTCATTGCATGAAGCTAAAGACAACTCTGTTGACATTTTTGCTGGGGGGTGAGAAGTTCCAATATTCTGGTGTTAGTGACAGTCTCCTCTTCCCTGCTAGCTGTTTTGTTTCAGTGTTTTCAACACCAACATGCACATCTTGAGCATTTCTCCTGTTTTGTGTTCAGTAATAAACATGCAGATCTATATTACCAAATGTTTACCCAATTGCTTCTAAACAGGCAGCCACTCACTGAGACATTGATACAGCCTCATATACCCTTGCAGGGCAATGTTCCCAAGGTTTCATTTAAACCATTTTATAGAAATATACCTTTCTTAAAATAATTCTATAATTTCCAACCCCATTTTAAAGGACTTCTTAGATGAGCATCTATACATCTGAAAACATCTATTTGATGCTATGCCATATTTTGCATGAGCCTTAAAATTTATGCAATTTTCTCTCCCAGGTTAATGTACTGTTTCTTTCAGATATTTCATGTGGAGATCAGGGCACTTGGATAAAACATTTTAATTACTCAACCAAGTGTGCCCTTGTTGTTCCTTCAAGTTTGAGAAAGTCTCCCCCTCCAGGCTTTTGAAATTTAGTTTTTATAGGTAGTTGCTAACTTTCTCTTTGGTACATGCTAAATAACTTTTCCCTAAGAAATTACCATTTACCCAGTTGCAAGTAGATAATATTAAATCAGGTAAATCTTAATTCTTGTGTACTAAATTGAATATATTTTCCTTCCAGAACCTCTATGCCACTAGGAATACATTTTTGATAAATGCCATCTGCCTTTAACTCACATTTCTCATTTCAGCTGGCACATTAGCCATCACAGTGAAAATGCTGTTTTGGAGCAGAGAAAACTGAGCCATAGGAAGACCATCTAATTAAATAAGAATGTTTATAATTACTGAATATGGGGGCCCTCTCCCTTGCTCCAATTATATAAATATGTAGTCTGCCTGTGCAGCTATCATATTAGATAATTAAAATTCATTCTTTCCTGGAGATAAATGTCATGTGCCGATAGGTCTGTATTGTGATAGCGCTGCACCTCCTGCTTCTCAATGTATGTATTTAAACAAAATTGCTAAAAGGATTCATAAACTAGGTTCTCCCTGAAGCCACTTTGGGGCCATCTGCTTCTTAGTCACCATCCAAGCTCTTGTTAATTGATGGAACCTCTCTGGAGCTGGGCCCATGCCAAGGTTCCTAAGGCAAGGTCCTTCTCTATTGGGTTGCTGAGACAGTGATTCTGTGTCATGCTATTATACTTTCCATAGCAACACAACCTTCCCCATTTTTGCTTCTATTCCTCCCATGCAGACATCAGGGAAAGGGTTTCCCTAGTAACTGATCTATCCATCCCTTCTATCTCCTGGAGGCCAACTCTTCTCCCCGTCTCCCTAACACTGTCAGCCACTCCAATCCACATTCCCACATTTTTCAACTCAAGTCTTATGTTCCCTAGTGAAACTTTCAAAATAGGAAGGACATAATTTAAATTGTCAGTCGGTCAAGCTGAAGAGTTCATGTCTCTTTAGTTGGACTCTGGTATTTATTTGAGGTAGCTGTAGCTCTGTGACCGAAAATCAGGCTTTATTTTAAATATGTCCTTTGTTTAATGCTACAGAATTACATCTTCAATAATGGAAAGAGGTTTATAGAGAAGAAGAAGAACCATATCTAATGGGTATTAAAATGCAATTTCACAGACATTCTTGGAACAGTTCCTGTAATAATATTACTTTGCATTAAACCAATTTATTTGCTTAATGTGAAGTTATCAAGAAAACTAAAATCAGAGAAATAAAAAACATCCAGGCCATTTTTATATGTAAAATATCAACAACAAAGAAATGAATACACACAAAAATAGGCTTGCATCTTTGGACAAAAATAGAATTTTATCAACATTATTGCCACAAAGATAATCAGAGACATTATTTGCAAGTTTGTTTTGAAACTTAGGACAACATCACAACATTCCTGTAAAGACTTGTTTTATTACATCAGTAATTGCAAGAGAGACTAAATCATAGGAGACTACTTCCAATTATAAATAGGTCACATATTCATATACATAACCTTTTTCTCACAATTGGGAACTTAAGCAAATAACTTGGTATATTTTTAACTCTAGGAAAATATTCAGGCAGAAGCACAGGGAAATAAATATACGCTAGGATTCCCCTAAAATGGAAAAACAACCCAAAGCCTTTCTTTAGTTAAGTAAAATCTTTTAATTTTGCCCACTAGGTGACTAGGATTATTTATATTAATTTGAGTCAGGGAAAATACTAGGAAGATATCTAGACCTTGAGAATAATAGAAACTCTTTTTTTTTCTCCTTCTTCTTCTCTTATGACATCAATTAACTACACCCAAAAAAGTAAAGGGATGATATTATTGACAAATGAGTAAGAGAGGTATAGCTATTCTCACTTCAACTAAATATGCTTCATGGAATGAGTAGAGGAGCGGTCATAACCATGTCTCTTATTTTGATGAGTTCAATGAATATTTTGTGTTCTAACTCAGCCCATATTCCTAAGTGACCTGGATATTGCATTTAAAAAATGAATGTTTTGCACTACACAATACTCAGATGGAGGACAATTTTCTTTCATCATACTAGATTCATAAACATTTATCTTCAGCCTCGATTTTTATCTGATTTGGATGAATCTCATTGGTCTTCTAGTCCATATTTTGCTTGCATAACTTTTCTTTAAACATTGCTAATGGGATGTTATAGCATTTCATCTTGAAAATTGTTATTAACTACTCCACAAACTAAAGTATTTCATTTAAGAAAAATGTGAACAAATAAAAAGTCTGGCAGGATGTTGCACTAAAATCTATAACCATGTCTGTATTTCTTATGATATTTACCACCTACTACTCTGGTTATTTTAATTTCCTCCAGTTCTTTTAAGTTCGGAAGACTGGCACTCTATAAGATAAATGGTCTTTGGAAATTATCTCTTTTGCATAGAGAATAAAGGCTCTATTGTTTACATTAAACCAGCTATTGCAAAGTCACAAGTACACCTTAAGACTGTGTTTGTTCTTTTAGACTCATCACACCTTTAATGAGTATTGAACTTGTTTACTATAACTTCTAGCCCTTTGTAAATCATTTTTTGTTATCTATATTTTCCTTTCACCATAAGAAATTCATTATTGATTATGAATATGGTACTTTTCAATAGTGATTTTGATGAGAAGGCCACATAGATTCTTATTTCCAATATGTGATTTTTGTTTTTGTTTTTTGTTAACCAGGTTTTGTCTCTCTTGCCAATTTAATAATTATTCTATTCTTTTATTTTCATAAAATATGGCACATTTCATGGATTTGCATGTCAGCCTTATATAGGTGCCATGCTAATCTTATCTACATTGCCTAATTTTAGTATATGTGCTGCCAAAGTGAGCACAGTATCATTTTTATGTCTTCTTCCAAAAGAGTGAACAAATATCACTTCATTTAATCTAGAAATTTTGATCAACAGACCAAGAATTAACTGAATTGTACTACAATATAATCTGAATTTACTTATTTACAGAAATAGTTTATTAAAAGGAGAAAAAAACTAGAGATCATTTAAGCAGGCATCATCTTTTAAAATTATAGTAAGAGAACCTCATATAAATGAAATGGCTTTTTAATACAATTAAATATTTATTGAAAACAAGGTATATCTTATTTATTTGTAGTACCTCTATTTCAGAAAAAAAAATCCCATACTATTATACTAGATTCAAAAGCTATGAAAAGTAATTATGACTGGTTATTATAGTAAAATACATTAATTTATCTAGATTATAGACAATAGACATAAAGGGATTCTGTTACTATTATAGTATATTTGACAGAAGACATAAGTGACACAGATAACTTATTTTCCCTTGGTAATTATCATGATTATTTTTGATGGATATGTGCATGATATCCTGGTATTCAGTGTTAGCAGAGAGTGCAAGAATATCAGTTAAAATATTGTCTCACTTCTTACTTGAAAATAAATAAATGAACTCTGGGGTTTTTCTCAATCTCAGAACATTCTGACCTCAGAAACAATTTTATCACAATAGGGGCTGCTGGCTTAGTTGTTAGAATAATTGTTTTGCTAAAGTTGAAAGAAGAAGCAAAGAAAAGTTGGTGATTTATTGATCTGTTTTTCTGGCTGGCTTGAAATAAGTGAATTGGTATCAATTCTCTATGCATCTATTGATTATTATATAAAAGGACCTGTACAAGGGCTGTTGAATACTGTTGAAAGTGGCTAAGAATGTCTCCTGATAAACCTTATGAGATTTTCATGGGGTCAGTTTTATTTGAGCACTACATTCTTACTTTTGTTATTTTCAGAGAAAATAGAAAGCTAATTTAAGTCAGGTACAACTCTTTTTTACTTGTGAATCCAGAGGGATCAATGATTCTAATGGGTTGAAGGTAAAATTCCTAATTGAAAACTATAGTGGTTGATTCAAGTTTCATAAATCTAAATTAGCTCTCATAAATTCTTAAAATTAAATTAATTTTTTAATTAATGTTGTTTCACTGCAGAAAAATTGAAACAGCCATGCTGTTTTCTTCATCTTGAATCTTTTTCCCCCCACATTGTTTAAAAAGTAAACCTTGCAGCATTATTTTTGTACAAATGGGGATATGCAGAGTGATCATAATCTAATTTATTAAATGCTTACAGCAAAGTATTTTCAAGAACCAGTTTCAGAAAACATCCCTAACTAGTATAATAAAAATAAATGTAACTCAGATTTTCATTTCCATTTTTAAAATTAATAACATTTTATTTAACATATATTTCCCAAATTATAATTTTATCATGTGACCAATGAAAAACATTAATGAGATGTATTACTTATGTTCTTTTTCCATTGTACATCTTCAAAATTCAAGGTGTATTTTACAGTCCTAGCACATCTATTCAATAAATTCAGGTAGGGCGAACTATACATGCTCTATAGTTACATATGGCTAGCAGTTATCACATTAGATAGCATGGTTATAAATACTGCCAAAAAATAAATGATTTTTTACCACACATTGTGTCTTCATATTTTTTTCAAATAATTTAGAGAAAGGTAGCATGGTGGCTAAGAACTCAGATGTGGGACAAGACCACCTAAGTTCTAGAATATACTCTGTTTTTACTAGTTGTATGACCTTGGGAATGTTATTCTTTCTGATTATGTCCCTGTATTTTAAAAACTGGAATAATAACAACATTAAAATTTGATGTTATTGTTATGAAGGTAATTAGTGAGCTGGCACTGAGTGAGAGCTGTGCTACCTATTTTCATTGTTGAACAATATGTAATAGTTCTGCTGGTGTGGGTCAGTGGTTGAACATTGACCCATGAACCAAGAGGTCACTGGTTCAATTCCCAGTCAGAGCACATGCTAGGTTTGTAGGCTTGATCCCCAATAGAGGGTGTGCTGGAGGCATCCGAATGATGTTTCTCCTCTATGTTTCTATTCCTATCGATATATCCCTCTTTCTTTTTCTTTCTCTAAAAATTAGTAAAAACTTAATTTTAAAAACAATACAATGTAAGCTGAACACATTAAATGTAAATATGCTTGAACTTATTTTGAAATATATTTCTATTTCTTGGCAGCATTACAGATGTCCCCAAACCCCTCCCCACCCACTGTCTTCATTATATTATTGTTTGTGTTTATGGGTTATGCATATCCTATATAATAAAAGCCTATTATGTTAAGTGTCTGATTGTCCATTCAACAAATCAAAGTGTAATATGCTAATGATATGCTAAGGCCACTAAACCACTTGCTATGATGTGCACTGACAACCAAGGGGCAGACACTCAGACAAATGGGTTTGCTTGCTGCTGAGGTCCAGCAGATTGGGACTGAGCTAGACAGGCCAGGCATGCCCTGGAGCCCTCCCGTGTTCCCTCCCCAGTTGGCCAACCTCCCACATCCTTCCCCAGCCCCAACAATTATATGTGAAACAGTTTATTTTTATATTATTATTTATTAACTAGTGATCTGTTGCAGGAATATTCCTCCAAGACTTCTGGTGGCTTCCTTCCCACCACCGCCACTTCTCCTGATCCCCCACCTCTCCCACTGTGGTGGGCAAGGCAAGGCGGGCCCATCCCAGCTGCCCCACCACCCGCACAGCCACCACTGCCACAATCTCTAAGGCCGTGCACTGCCACCACCACTGCTGTGCATCTCATCCCGCATGCCCAACTCGCCACGTCTGCCGCAGCCACCTCTGCACTCACTGCCACAGCCTCTGCCATACACCCCAACCCGCCTTGCCCACTGCCTCCGCCTCTGGGGCCACGTGCATGCTGCCGCTGCATGCCTTGCCCCACCCACCTGACCTGAAGCTCCCATTGCCCCTGCTGTCTCCTGCCACCGCCTCTACCTCCACAGCCACACGTGATGCCAGTGCTTTCCCTCCAGCAGCAGCAGCCGCCTTGCTTTCCACTTTTCCTCCCTCTTCCTTCTATGCCATCTTCAACCTTCACTCCTCCCTCCTTCCACTTATGCAAATTAACCATCATCTTTGTTGGGTTAATTTGCATACTCACTCTGATTGGATGGTGGGCATGGCTGGTGGGTGTAGCAGAGTGAAGGTTAATTTGCATGTTACTCTATTATTAGGTAGGATTACTATATTTTTAGTACAAACAACTCATAACCTATTTTTGCCCTATCCTTTATATAAATATAGTTTGGTTATAGATTCAAATACTATAAACTCTCCACATTCCATCTTGAATGAATGACTGGCAATACAATAGGTCTTATAGGGATAAGAATTTTTTTATTCATTTATTTTTGTGGTACTCTGTTCATTGCTGGACATCTAATATTTCAGGCACTCTCCAATGTAATTTGTGTGGTATCCCAGAAAACATTTTATAATTAAAAATCCTATATAATAAAAGGCTAATATGCAAGTTGTCCCCATGGGTGGAAGCTTGACCAACCAGGAGTTAGACATGTGCTTACTACCAGGGAAATGTCTGGAACATGGAGGGCATCAGCAATGCAGCACTGGCAATGGGCAGCAGTGGAGGTGCTGCTGGCCCTGACGGGCCCTGACTGACAAGAACAGGATGATAGCGGGATGGTGGAACAGATGAGTGGGCTGTGCCAGGCTCCAATCTCCCCACTGGTCACTCCACAGATGGTGACCAGCAGCAGGGGGTAGGGCTGGTGAGTGGGTGGCACCAGGCCAAGGTGGGTGTAAGCAGGGGCTCATATTGCCCCACCAGTCATCCCACATGTTGGTCCTGATCACCAACCCTAGGGACCCTACCCATGTACCAATTTTGTGCACTGGGCCTCTAGTATCACATAAATTTATAAAATTTCTACTTCGTGTGATACTACACTTTATTAAAATATTATCTTTTATGCAATAGATTAAATACTATACTAGAGGCCCAGTACACAAAATTTGTGCACTGAGGAGGGGAAGGGGGGAGTCTCTCAGCCCAGCCGGCACCCTCTCTAATCCAGGACCCTTTGAGGGATGTTCGACTGCTCAGTGGGATTGGGCCTAAATGGGCAGTCAGACATCCCTCAAACAGTCCAGGAATTCTGGCTCCCAACTGCTTGCCTGACTGCCTTCCTGATTGCCCCTAAGTTTTGCCTGCCAGCCTGAACACCCCTAACCACTCCCATGCCAGCCTGCCAGCCTGTTTGCCCCAACTTCCCTCCTCTGCCCAGTAACCCCTAATCGCCCTCTCCTGCAGGGTTGATCGCCTCCAACTGCTCTCCCTTGCTGGCCATCTTATGGTGGCCATCTTGTCTCCACATGGGGACAGGATCTTTGACTACATGGGGGCAGCCATATTGTGTGTTAGAGTGTTGGTCAATCTGCATAATACTCTTTTATTGGATAGAAGCCTGGTGCATGGGTGGGGGCCAGCTGGTTTGCCCTGAATTGTGTCCTGGATCAGGGTGGAGGTTGCCTTGGTGAGCTAGGGGCCTTTGGTGGTTTGCAGGCCAGCCACGCCCCCTGGCGACCCAAGCGGAGGCCCTGGTATCTGGAATTTATTTACCTTCTACAATTGAAACCTTGTAGCCTAGAGTAGAGCCAAGCGTCCTGCTGGGTCCAAGGCTGTCAGCCATTTCTGTTTGGATTTGTTTACCTTTTATAATTGAAACTTTGTAGTCTCGAGTGGAAGTTTAGGCTGCAAGGGTATGCTGAAAGCTTGGCTTCCTCCATTGCCTGGGAAATCCAAGCCTCCCTCCTGCTCTCTGTGACTATAGTCATCTTGGTTGGGTTTATTTGCATACTCCTCTGATTGGCTGGTGCGTGTGACTGGTGGGTATGGCTTGTGGGTATGGCTTGATCACTTTAATGAATTTCTGGTGATTGTTAATTTGCATATCACTCTTTTATTAGGTAGGATACGATAA